CCACAGAAAACACAGAATTCACTCCTTCGCTAAGCCATGTTCCTTCTAAATTCTGCATTTTACTGGGTTTACCAACAGTCACACCAGGCGACCTGCCTTAACTCTTCTTTTGCCCTCATCCCCTTGTATCGAAGTCCCTTAGATATGTTGCTGCTTTCCCAGAACTGACTCATTTGGGTGCTCATTTGTCTTTCCCTTGTGTTCTGCTTTCACCCAATTATTTTCTCTGGTCTTCTTGACTTCAGATGTGTTGCATCAGTGTAGCTTCTACATCTCTGCTAGCACAATATTTATAAATTAAGCCACTCTGTATGTCCCCTCTGCTTAAAACCCTTCAGTGGAAGACAGGATATGAGCCAGTCTCTTTCACTGATAAGTGTAAGGCCTTCCCTGTCTGCTTCTTCTGATCCTTTATGTTGCTCCTGCTCTAGCTCTCCTTTTGCTCCATATCTTTGCAAGGACTGGCCTTTCTCTATGAAATGTGGCCTCCTTCTCTTCTCAACCCCATGCCACCACAAAGCTAAATCCCAATCATTTAAGATTCAACTCAGACAATACTTCTGAGAAATCTTTCCTAACTAGTCCCATCTCTTGGCCCATTAGGTGCTTGCATATTTTGTGTATGTCTCTGTCAATGTGCAAACCTTTTCTTTTTTTTAATTGTCAGAGGATGTGCACACTCACAAAAGAAAGACGGTGAGAGGGAGAAAGCATCCCCAATTCTGTCGTGTTTACTCCACAATTTCATCTCTTCCATTTCTCCCATTCTGTTGGGATTTGGAGCATGCATGCACATGCAGCCAGTGTGTATTTCAAGCCACTGATCTGGGATTCAAACCATGGCTGGCCATGTAGGATACAGCTCCCTCAACCACTAGGCTACAGGTTGCCCCAGACTTTATTTATTATAGTTATTTGTTATTTATTATAATTACATTATATTCAATGTGTCTGCCCTCCTGGACTATAAGTTCTTTGCAGGCAGAGACAATGTGTTTCTAGCCTCCATTTCTAGTATACTGCATGGCATAAACTAAGCCTCCAATAATTGTTCGAATGACTGTGCATTGTAAAAGTAATCTTAGCTCTTTAAAAAATCCTCAGTGATTAAAAAAAAAAACTGAAAAATTACTTTAGCTAAACCTCAGTAACCTAGCATTCTCTTGCCCCAATTCCCTGAGTATTTTAGCTAGTGAATTGAATCTATTTTGAGTCTATTTTAAGTTTATGCTAACAGTTACATAGTGACATTGCAAAAAAGATATTCTCTATTCTGGTGTCTGACTTTGTGATTGCAGGTCTTGGTTTTTTCCCCTGTCTCTGCACTACTGGGTCACTGAAGAGCTCCAGCTGGTAGAGACACATCTCAATTTTTCTTCTCAAGTGCAGAGCAGAACCCCAAAGTGGCCACCTGGGGGCAGTACAGACTTGCAGATGGGTTTCACAGCAAGGCTTGGGGAGCCTCAGTCCTGAGCAGTGTGTTGTGTGCCACTTCTGCCCCACTTCCTTTTTCTGTTTCTTCCAGAGGATGTCTTTGGCTGAGCCCACCTTTGACTCAGGCTCCCACTGAATTGGTAAGGGAGGGACTGGTATGGGTGCCTAAGGGGGATGCTGGCTTGCAGAGCAGCATGCATGCCCTCATGCACATGGAACAGCCTCTAACTCCCAAGAAACAGGATTAAATAAATTGACCAGGGGTCTCTTTGAGCTAGGAAACATAAATACTCAAAAGAAAAATGCAGAGGCTGGTGTTAAACACTGTTAACAGGTATAATAACTTTGTTCCATGACATACAGATCCTGGAAATACCACATTGTTTTAGTCTCTATGTTAAATACCTTTGGCTCTGGGGCTGGCAGGTGGCATGGTGGTTAAGGGCACAGGACTCCCACATAGCCGACCATAGTTCAAGTCCTGAACCTGGCAGCTGGCTTTCTTACTTTCTCTCTCTGTGTCCCTCTCTGCCCAAATGTAAATAAATAAATAAAATTAAATTAAATAATTCTTAAAAAATAAATAAATAGATACCTTTGGCTCATAACCCCAAAAAAGTTGGACTAATTCAATCTTGGTCCTTTTTTCAGGAACTTACAAGTGTTTGGGGGAAGACACTTCTCAATCAGTGCCTATCACCCCTGATGCTTTTCGCTCATGATAAGAGTCTATTGCAGGCCTAGCTGAGGCATGGAGACCTCTGCTGAGGCCCCCAAACTGCAATAGGTTTGCTTACCTCCCTGAGCACACAATTATCCCAATTCAAGGCCATAAAATCCTCAGGGTCTGAGGGCAAATTGAGGCAGGACCTAGTCACACAAGGAAGCCTCAGTATTCCTCAGCACTGTCCTCTCAAAGACAGGAAATTCCCCTCTAAGAGTCCTTCTTCCTCTCAGAAAAGGACAACCTTATTGCCTCTGAGATTGGGCCAATTTTAAAGACAAAAGCTATTTCTTTTGAAATTTTTGTGTTTTGCCAAACTGTGAGCAAGAGAGACACAGAAACAGAGAAACAGAATCTCTCAACAGAGTCTTGATGCCATGGTCCATCCCCAGCCTTAGCTAGCCTAGTTTAGGCCTTCTCATTGCCTGATTTCAGGAAGAACTCATACATGAAAGACTTACCCCAGGACCCTAACTAAACCCTTGCATAGTGAGATAGATAATGGAATGCTAGAACTCCCTCGACCATTGACTTATTTTGCATAAGGTTTTAATTTTTAATATTTCATTAAAATATCATTTGTTCTGATTACTGAGATTTTTGGCACCTCCGTAAATTTTGCACCCAAGTGTATGACTTATTCCTCTCACCCTAGTCTGTCCATGTGCAACTGCCCCTGACAGGGCTACCTACAGCCTTTGTGGTTTGCAGGATGTGGGGAGTGGTCTGGGCCTATAAGACCCAGTAGGATGCAGGCTCTGGGAAAGGATTGGGGGCCTACCATTCTGGGCTAGCACTTCTTCCACACCCTCCTAAGGCCACACCAGAGAAGCACATCCCACAGCATCAAACCAAGAGTTCTTTGATTTTTGTCATAGATGGAGAGAATGCTCACATACCTCCATTCAGAAGGGTCATATGAGGATCCAAGAGTTTCACAACAAAATCTAGGTTGTCCCAATTTGCTTAAATTACGTTATTTAGCACAGCCCATATTTATCAAGCACTTACTATTTTATTTTATAGGCACTGTTTTAGACATTGAGGCTATGGTAATGAGCAAAATTACACTGAATAGTTTAATGGAGCTTAAGTATGTTTGGAGAACTAGACCAAAACAAGTAAACAAGATGATTTCAAATAGTGGCAAGTTCTAGGAAGAAAATAATGTGATGTGATAGGAATGAAAGGGGATAGTAATTTGAGAAAGGTTGGACAGGTAAAAAAACATACATGAGGCAAGTTCTAAAGCCAAGATATCATGCAATACAGAATTTCTAGTTTCTCCAGAAGTAGCAAATACCCTTCCTGCTAGGTATCCACACAGAAACGCATGAGCAGACTTAGACAGCGAGTGCTGCCCCACCTCCCCCTGCCAGGGGTTTGGTCACAGCTACGGCATTTTGACAACCTATTTAAACCAACTTGCAGTAACTGGCAGCAAAGTATCATTCCCTGACAGGCTGAGTCATTGAGCCTCTGCAGACTTGGAAGAGGGAATCATTAGCTGAAACATTCAGGAAACAGGGGGTCCCAGAGAGGTATGTAATAAATTCTATCCAGATGTTGGAATTGGTTTTTTCCTTTTTCTTTTCTTTTTGTTTTTGGGTTTTTTTCCCCCCTTTTTTCAATCACATTCAATGAGCGAACAAGTTGTTTTCACCTTATCAAGCAAGGTGGGACGAACATTACTTCCTTTATTCCCGGGTGGGTCTGCACCAAAATCGAGAGGGCTAACAGCACTCAGGCAATACAGAATGGCATCAGAATTACTGGAGAGTACTTTGTGTATATGACAGAATGGTCCAGATAGGTAAATGGTGTTGCACATACTTTAGCATAATTCAATAAGAGGTCTCCAAGTCTGTCCTAGTGTATAGTTTCCAAACTATTTACCTGTGATGTGTAGGCAGCCCATCTATTTTCTTCTAAGAAACTATAACTGTACAAATTGTTCCAACAGACAGCCAAATGTACACATTCTTCCGTTAGAAAGAGAAATACAAACCTAACCGTAAGTGCAAAACTTTATCTCATGGCATCTGAGCAGCCTTAATGTCATGGCATCTTTGTTGTGCTATATGACTAACAATGGGGTCATTAAATAAATCACAGAACTCTTCTCCAGCAGCCCAGACTCTTCCAGGGTTAACTCTTACGCGGGGCCAGGATGAGGAAAAACAGATCTTCCCAAGCTGCAGCTATATTTCATGTCCCCTTCACCCTACACCTGAGCTCCTGCTTCCTGGAAGAAAAAACTGAAGAAAGATAGCCTCATCCGCAGAGAGGGTTCTTCTTGGCAGTGGCCACTTCTAGTTCCAAGCTGTGGACATTAAGCTAGAAAGCAGTACTGAGAGAGAGGACCAGCAATAAATGACACTAGGAAATGGGAAACCCAAAGAAGAAAGAATCTTCCCTTCTCCTCAAAAAGGTGTGCTTTGCAAGGTTCATTTTTTCATCTGGATTGGTGAGTCTCAAAAATCTTTAGCCCTTAGACTACTTAAGCAGAGTAAAAGAATCTCACCTATTTCCTAGATTAAATAAACAAGCAAGTAAACAAAAAAACTTTTGAGGTGTTTTTGCTGCATTCCTTGTGTTATTTGTAGCTCCATTTAAGGATGTTTGTTTTCGTGCTTTTAAATTTTGATTCAAATCTGCAGTGGAAAATATGTTTCAAAGGGGAAAAAAAATGAAAGAAAGAAAACAAAACCACCCAACACACTTGTGTGCCTTGCATTTTGACCCAGCCCACGGAACGATTGGAAGAATCTTCGCAGACCCACCAGAGATCCCCGGATTCCATTTGGAGAACCATGTTCTAAAAACTACATCTTGATTTCAGAGCCCTTCTTTTGATCTGGAATTATCTGTTATTGACCACAGAGAGCAACTACTGACGATTCCTGGCACAGGGCCCTGTATAGTGAGAGGTGAGCCCCAGTGGGGGAAGAAGAACTTTCTTTCTCTTTTTCAGCGGATATTTTGCTACAGTACAATATCTATGCTATAGTATATATCTGTGAGTACGATTTCTACTCTTTCTTCTCCTTTCTTTCCTCCTCCATTTTCCCTCCTTCTTCATCATATTATTGTATTTTTTATTTGTTTGTTTCTTCTATAGTAAAACTTTCCCTAAGCTGAGGTGCCTAGAATATTTTTGTCTGGTACGTTCTGCTAATTGGAGTTTCAGAATCACAGTTTTTTATTCAAGTGCAGAATGTTCGAAAATGTTTAAACACTTAAATTATTGTAAAAGCAGCTGGCCACTGTCCATGCCTTGTAGACAGTTAGCTGAGATAGTACCCTAAATGAGGCTATAGATCTGTACCCTTCACTATATCAGAACGTAGAGTCCCACTGAGATATGCGTAGAAAAGGAGAAGAACCCTCATGCAGAGAGCAGCCATGTTGCACTGAGCCGACAACATGGACAATCAGAAGGGCAAATCCAGGCAGTAATGGAACCATGCCCTGGAAGCATGCCGTTAGAAATCTCCCAACTGAGCTGAGCCCGGAGAATGAGATGGTTCCTTCGATCAAACTGCTCTGAGAAAATAAAGGAAAAGAATCTGACTCACGTTGAAGGTAGCGAGTGTGTCTGTGTCTCCTCTCCTTAAGCCACAGGGATCTCATTAAGGATCGGGGCACTAACACTGATGGCTTCACTTTGGGCACAACCCTCAGCAGGACGGCCCCATGCAAAGGTAATTACCAGGAATGAGAGCCCATTATAGCCTTTTGATTTGGTCACTCCAACATCCTGTCAGACAGATGTAGAAAGGAGACCGACTCTTACCTCAAAAGAAGTAAATTGCAGTTGAAGTATTTGGTTTCAGCTTCTGTCAAGTTGAGGCTTTGAAAAAACAGAATTTTGTGAGTTTAGGAAACCAAATACCAGATTCTATTGCTTTGGAGCTCTTGCAAATTCAAAGACATAAGGAAATCTATAGCCAAAATTGAGACAGTTACTTCTAATGGACTATTTTACTGTGAAGTGCAGTAACTCCCATTTTGTCTAAGTGGCTCTGGGTTGGAATACGATCTGGGAAGTGGGCTGGTTTTGGTTCATCAAAACAGTTTAAAGGATTCTCAAAAGTTAAACTAGCATAAAACTTGTCACATCTCGGTTATACCATGAGTGTCACTCTTCCAGGCACTTCCGCACATGGGTAAGCATTCTAGCAAAGATGCCGTTACAGTTTGGCACAGGGAAATGTAGAAGTCAAATGTTTAAAGTTTACCAAAAGAAGTAACCAAAGCCAGGACACTTGTCAAAAAGGGAAAAGAGTTCTTATATAAGAAAACAGGAACCAAAAGGATTAGGTGTCTGGGATGGGATGCAGGCAGGGTGTCATCTTAGACTGAAATAAAAAAGAATACAATTTGGAGGGGAAATGTACATAAAGAAATAGACTGTTGAATGCAAAGAAAATTGACTTTGGTTGGGTTGGAAAAACTCAGATTTGGGGAGGAAAGAACTGTAAAGCTAGAGTCTATTCAACTTAATATCTGTAGTTGGGTCTGGGGGAGAAAGTAGTCCCTAGAAGCCTTAAGAGATCTGCATTTTGCTCACAGGACAACTATCTAGAAGAAAAAGAATAATGGGGGTATTTTAGTGGGGGAAGTTTCCATCAGTGCTCTGATGGCCTCTGTAAATGTAGGATCCGGCCACAGATTGCCTGCTTTTCAGCCACCAGTTCAGTCGCCATCTGTTTCCCAAACCTGTGCTTACAGATTTTCTTTTTATATTCAGATATTCTTTAAGAAGAATCATTTTGAAGCAAAAGTACTAAATTCAAAACATTCTACCCAACCATTTGAATCTTGTTTTAAAAGATGGAAGGATGAGAGTTTGACTGTCTTCATTAGTTTAGAAATAGTCCTTGCAGACAGGATCCCAGGCATTATGTGCTTTCACTCCTCCCTTGGGTTATTCTGCTCTCAAGTGCCATCAGGACTCATTCAATACAGTCAGTAATTGGGCTTTTAGAAGGGGGAAAAGTGGTTATTTAAAATTGCTTCCTTATGTCCTGTAGCTACACCCCTTGACGTTTGTTTTCAGAGAAGTATACATAGTAGTGACTAACTGGATATCTGCTCTAAGTCAGTTCGACTGATAAGTTAGGAGGCCATTCCTGTCCATGATATTACTATAAGTTACAGGCACAGAGGACCATTTGCTGAACCTTAGTGAAGGCATTTGCTGCTTGGCACCTAGACTTAGCAAGCTCTTGTGACCTGTCTCACAGGAACAACTAACTGGCACTAGTGCACAAAGCTCAGGACCAGGAATGAGACCAGGATCTGGTCCTTCATCAATCTGTAACTTTCTGTGAGGCTTTACTCTATTGTACTTATTAACTTTGCTCACAGCTTCCATCTTCCAGTGCACCAAATGGAAAACAAAGACAAGGCTCCTTTACTGACAAGAACTCTTGTGGATAGGATGATTGCCTGCAGTATTTACCTTAGTTGGGGGAGAGGGAGTAGACTCAGATCCCACACATTGTGATAACTGATTTTTTTGTACTTGATTCCTTATTTTTTTAAATCCTCATCTCCTTTTTTCCCTGGATTCCTAAATGAACACACTTTTCTCTTAAGTAAACTTTTTATTGAAATAAAACACATAGTATTTGCTTGATGAATGAATTTTTTAGAAGAATTATTTAATTTTATTTATTCATTCATTTATTTTAATTTGACCAGAGAGAGATGGAGAGAGACAGAGAGACAGAGAGAGAGGGGGAAAGTGAGAAAGCAAGTCACCAGGGCCGGGACTCGAACCATGGTCAGTCATGTGGGAGTGTCCAGTGCCTTAACCATCATGCCATCTGCTGGTCCTACTTGATGAATTTTTATCACGTGAGCACACCTAGAAAAACAGAACCTTGATCTAGAAATAGGGCCTTACCCAGAAGTCTTATTTTATCCATTTTCTTATTGATAGACATTTGGGATGTTTCAGTTGGGGGCTATTATGAACAATGGTGCCAAGAACATTCTTGAACAATTTTTTTTAATGAGGTTTTGAATGCATTTCTATTTGGTATCAAGTGGAACTACTGAATCGTAGTACATGTATGTGTTCTGCTTTTAAAGAGACTACCAGTTTTACCAAAGTGGTTGTATCATTTTTACATTCCTATCAGCAGTGTCTAAGATTTCTGGGTTTTGTTTGTTTGTTTGTTTGTTTGTTTGTTTGTTTTCATCTCCACCAACAATTGGTATTGTCTATCTTACATTTAGCCATTTTGATGGGCATATGGTGGAATGCGTTTTAATTTTTTTTATTTAATTTTTCCCCAAGTTCCTTCTTCTATTGTTTTCTTTTTGTTTAGAGAACTGGCTTTATTCATTCTTTTAGAGCAGGTCTGCTCCAGATGAATAAAGGATATTTTTACTTAGTATAGAATTTGGGTTGATAATATTTTTCTTTCAACACTTGAAAAGTATTATTCCTTTTCCATCCAACCTCCAAAGTTTCTGATGACAAATTCATTGGCGTTCCAATTGTTTTCTTGTTTTTGTTTTTGTTTTTTTTACCTATTAGTAACAAGTTATTTTTCTCTGGCTGCAATCAAGGTGGTTTTTCATCATTAGTCTTCAAAAGTCTAATTATAATGTGTTCTGGATGGACTTCTTGCATTTCTCATATTTGAGATTACTGAAAATTTTTCAGCCATTCTTTCATTAAGTACTTTTTCAGTTCTACCTTCCTTCACTTCTCCCAAATTCCAATGACACAAATATTAAATCTTTTGTTGTAGATTTTTTTGATGGCCTATTCATTTTTCCCCCAGTGTATATGATCTCATTGTTCAGTTTGAGTACATTCTATAAAATACATAACATTTCAAACGATGATGTGGATAACATATTACAACAGTTGTCTCATAAGATTATAATGGTGCTGAAATTTTCTATCATCTTGTGACACTGTGGCCATCTTAGTGTCACAGCACAATGCATTACTCAGTATTTGTAGCAACGCTGGTATAGACAAATTTACTGTTCTGCCAGCCATATATAAGTATGGCAATACTATTATGTATAATATATAATACTTGATAATGATAATAAACAACAATGCTACTAGTTTATGTATTTACTATACTTTCTTAAACAATTGAATATGGAACTACATTGTTTAAAATACAAAATCTTTTTATTTTCTTTGTAGAGGTGTTTGCTATAGGACACGTGTGCTCGCCAGACAGACAGAGAGAGACAGAGAAATAGAAAGTGAGAAATCACCCCCCGGGGGGATGGCCATGCTGCAATCCCTTCTCCTCCATTCTCCTCTTGGGATCTTGGGTATGCATGCACACGTGCCCGTCATGAATTTAAGCCACTGGGTCCAGGACTCGAACTGCGGTTGACTACATGGGAGTTCAGTGACATAGCCATTATGCTAACTGCTGGCCCCAATAAAAAAGCTTTTAATGCAATAATTTTTGTTTCTTTGAAGAGCAATGAAGTTTAGCACCTTTTCATATATTTATTAGCTATTTGGATATCCTGTTTTGTGAAATACCTGTTCAAATCTTGAACCTATTTTCCTGTAGGGTTGTCTGATATTTTTATTGATCACTTAAAGTTTATGGAGCCAGCAGGTGGTTTGGTGGTTAAGGGTGCTGTGTTCCCACATGGTCAACCATGGTCTGAGTCCCAGACCTGACAGCTTGCTTTCTCGTTTCTCTCTCTCTCTCTCTCTGTCTCTCTCTCTCTCTCTCTCACACACACACACACACACACACACACACACACACACATACACACACACACTGTCCCTCTCTGGACAAATAAATGTCCTTCTCTGGTCAAATAAAAATAAATAAATAAATAAGTTAAATAAAAATAATTCTTAAAAAAAATATTTTTTTGGAGAGGTTTTTGCTATAGGGTGCATGCACTCGCCAGAAAGACA